CCTGGGGTAGGAATCTCCGTTGCTCTGGAGGCCAGGATCACGTTAGCTCAGAGCAACGATGGGACATTGACAACATTCACCAGGCTGGACAGCCTGGGTTTTGTCTGGGTCATGGAGGATCTATGACCTAGCAACCATGGGACACGAAGACAAGAGAAGTGATGCTGCCAATTGTGGAGGAGGCCAGTGAAACATTGTGTGATCATTGTAAGCCCTTATGTCAACAGTACAGGGCAAGATGTTAAATTGTTATTAACTTGTTACTAAGGATGAAGAACCTTAGATATATATGTGTTGTGTATATATTAATGACTAGTGTCATTTCTGTTTAAGTGCCAGCATTCTGGTCCATGTAATTTTATGGTTATGTTTGTATGTAATTATATGTCAGCAGTTTAGGTATATGTGCATTGTTGGAGATGGGAAAAATTATTACAGACTATTTTACCTGTGCTATGATGTGAATATAATGTATATGTTGTAGAAGTGTTGTGAGTCATGTCGGGGAAAATTTTAATTTAGTTCATCGTGTGTATGATGAACTTATTGGATGAATTTTTAGTTGTACATATATGGTGGGTGCATCCTCCAGGTCCTTGCACCAATGGAACCATTGCAATGATGCATATGGGGACATATGCGTGTTTAAGGAGGGGAGTGGTGTTGTAATCCACAAGTTAGTAGGGATTATTAGCTAGAGGATCATTACTACAACACTTAACGAATGATGATTGGAAGTACATGTTAAGTAGACAGACTATGGATCACATATCTAAGAAAGGTCAAGGGATTAAGACCGCAGCTGCTTAGCCAAACTAATAATTCCTGGAAAGAGGACTCAGGCTTCTAGGAACAAGGTTACCGCTTCTAGGGATAAGGTTAATCGGATTATACCTTCCTTGAGAGGCGGGGTGAAATGTTTGAGGCCATGGCTGACTGGAGACAGTCTGGTTGTGGGAGTGGAACTGGCAAGTCCTCCGAGGTCTCCGTTTGTGGCAGCAGCGAAGTGTAGCAGACAGCTATGCGAGAGCCTGATGTGATCTTAGTGACCAAGTTAAGTCTGCAGTATGTGAGTATTGAATGTAAGACTAACCGGGTGTGGAGCGTTGTAGTAATCATTCCGTATTAGGGACTTAGGCGGAAGTTACGAGTGCAAGTGGTGACCGCGGAGGTCAAGTGGTCTATGGGTATTGGAAGTGTATTTACCTAATAGAGTATGTTAATATGTTATTATTTGTCAGAGTCTATTCTTTGTAATTAAATGACAAAACCCGACGGCCTTTAAATACCTTCCATATGTTCACTCATTGTGTTCCAGTACAAACCTAGTGGTACGCCTCAAGGGTCTGGTGTGTGTAGGAGTACACGGTGGTAGTAACGGTTGCTGAGGCAAGGTGTTATGTGTTGTGTAATCGCTGTGTTCGGAATGAACCAGGGTTCAGCGTCACGACACTATATGGAGTACAACAATATCTTCACAGAAAAAAAACAGTTCGGCTTTCGAGCACAATGGTCAACTCAGCACGCAATAAGCATCATCTGTGAAGCTGTCAGCTCAATTCGCCAGCACAAGCGAATTACACACAGAAATCACAATTGCGTGATGCATCAAATTAATACCATGTCGTAGCTCAGTCGATTAAGGCAGCGTCTGGGATGCTCTCGGACGCAGGTTCGAATCCTCGTCATGGCCCTTGTGTATTTGTTCCTTTACAAGCATGTAGCCCTGATGGCGACGAGAGACGTACACAAGCCCTTCGACAGCCTATGGCACGATGGCCTTGTGTACAAACTAGCAGACTTACCGTCCCAAAACTGGACCCTCCTCAGACTGATCAGAAAATTCCTTAAGAACAGGCAAGTTATTCCCAGTTTCAAGGCGAAAGCGGCAACAATCTTCACTCCAACAGCTGGAGTCCCCCAAAGGTCATGCCTGAGCCCAGTCCTCTTCAACATATTCGTAAATGACCTGTCCCAAACAGAGTACAGAGGGGACACCATCAACATCCAATTTGCTGACGACGTAACACACGTAATAACAACCAACCCAAGCATCCAAACAGCCAAACATTCAACTGTAACCCGTAAGGCGAACGTAGAACTACCCAGGACTGCTAACTGGGAAGGAAAATGGAGGATCACCACTAACCCAGACAAGATTCACAAAAGCACTGTCGGCTGTATGGCCTACACAATCGAAGATGAAGAGTGGATAAGGATCAGGGGTGAACCTATAGCCATCTCAAACTCCAACACAGTGCTTGGATACAACTTCAACAGGCTACTTAACTCCACCCAGTACGTCTCCCAGAAGACAGTGAAGGCTAGAAGTTCCCTGTCGAGGCTATTCCGCTTCAGGCATGCCCCATTTCACGTCAAGCTCCACCTGTACAGAATGATTATAAGGCCTAACCTTGAGTTTCCTTATGTCCCCCCCTGAACCTCACCAACAAAACCAAACATGCTAAAGATCCAACGGGTCCAAAATAAGGCACTTTGCTTCGCGGCGGGCCTGTCGCTGGTGGACAGGGTAGGAACAGACCAGATCCATGAGACTCTCAACATGATGTCAATGAACACCAGGCTCAGCTTTTTGGCCAGAAGGCAGCTGAAGCACATGAAGCACATGTATGTCCCAGATCCCGATGAGCCCCACGAAGCAGTAAACACAACCAGTGACTATGAGATCCACGAACCACCACACAGAACCAGAAGAATCACTCTCCAACAAAACGTAATCTGACACATCCATGATCAGGCCTTCCCGATACCTCAAATACTTAGTGGTCTGCCAGACGACCCAGATGAGTGGACCATCCCGGACCGATTCATACTTAAAAAAAAAAAAAATAACAAGAACCCCTTTTTGTGCTACCAGAAGAGTAAACACCCTGATGTTGCTAAGATTGATATCCTTCAGCCAACTCCAACGGCTCAAGGACTTCCAGCTAGGACACGAACGCTAACCACCCAGCCAATATACTGACAACCCAACATACCACACACCCAAACAAACGACACACACACACATATGCTAACCCATGATGGAGAGGCCACCGAATTTCAAACCACCTCTCTCTCTATACCCACATCCTCTTCCAGAATTTCACCTCCCCGTCCCTCTACCAGTCTACCTCCTCTATCCTTTTTAAACCCTTTGGACATCAAAGCTAAAACAGCTCGCACGTCGTCGCTCCAGGGAAAAAATATTGTGACTTGTGGAGAAGAATCTATGGGAATCTTCCAGAGGAACGAGTGTTGAAGCAGTGGGAGGACGAATAGTGGCGTGTCTCGAATAGTGGCGACGAAAAGGGGCGACCTGAAGCCTGTTGTGTAGTCATTCCCTGAAGATCCACTGTGTGTATATCCTACAAGAAAATCGTTTGGCCAGGTGAACCGGATTGGCACCTGTGCTTTGGCCCTCCACACTCAAGTCAAGACTTAAAGAAGTCGATAATGATAGTCAAAATAAGGTTTTGTGGGTGACTTGGAAGAGCGCCAAATTTGACGTCGTGCGACAAGCGTCGTTGCTCTAGTATTTTGCGGTTCATGTTTGGTGGACGCGGTTCATCCATGGTTGATGTAGTAATGATATATTGGGAGCTGCAAGAGGATTGTACTTACTTGAGGACCAAATGATATATCTGGTTACCTGGTTGATACCTGGTTACCTGGTTGATGGGGTTCTGGGAGTTCTTCTACTTGTGTGACTTGTGAGAGTTTGGTCCACCAGGCTGTTGCTTGGAGCGGCCCGCAGGCCCACATACCCACCACAGCCCGGTTGGTCTATATAGGGTTCTGATGTTGATACACATGAAGATTAATCACTAAAGAGGAGACCTGTTGGTTAACAAGAGAAGCTGATCTTCAAGACTAAATAAAGAGGATTGATAGATCGTCTATATATGTTTGCTAGAAGGATAGATACATGTGATGTGTTTGGCGCAGTTAAAGGCGGGAGTGCTGTTTTATTGGTTGTTGTTGTTGTTGTTTTCGATTTAGCTGGTCATAACGAAATGTCCATGTAGCACGGGCTGTAGTAATCCAGTAATTGAGTTCAGTTATTCACGATAACTTTGTTACTGTGAAATAACAATTTCACATTTTTATTGGGATTGTCAATTTATATAGAAGTCTAGCCCAAACGGCGAAGTAACTGTTTCACAGCGAATTGCTGAGGAGGAGCAAGCAACAGCCTAGTGAAGAGAATTATGTTGGGTGCTGATCCAATGGAAGTGTTATGCTATTTGTAGAATTATCACCTGGCAATATTATGTTATTTTCTTCTATGTTTGTAATAAATGTTTGTCTGTCAAACAACTGTGTTTGCACTTGTCCTTGTGAGGGTTTCTGATGAGAGAGAGAAATAATTGCCGGCCGGACCACAGTACACAAAAAACAAAGGGGAAATAGAAGGAGGTCACCCAAGATAAGGAGAGAGAGGGTAAGTCACTGGTGCTCAGTTTGGGTGTGAACCGATCATTGTGATGTTAAGCCCCTTCTTCGTGTTTTGGATCATTACTGGGGTGACTCTCCAGTGCGTGACTGGTGCTCTGGTGTTAGCAGTGGTGCTAAACAAATTGTTATTTATCAGCGGCTCCCTGATAACTTATAAGTCATGATAAATTGGGGGGCCCTGATATGACGTATTGACATGTGTAGTCTACTACACATGTGACATCACATGTGTAGTAGGTGGATCAAGAAGGTCAGGTGTGTACACCGAAGAGGTGACATACCGTGTCAGGATTTTGCACACAGGATGTGATGTACTCTGTCAGGTTTTACACACATTTGGTGACGTAGTGTCAGGTGTGCATAGACGTAGTAGAGAAGATTAGGTGTGTACACATAGGAGGTGACCTATCATGCCAGGTGTGTACACATAGGAGGTGACCTATCATGCCAGGTGTGTACACATAGGTGACATACCATGTCAGATGTGTTCACATACTGGAAGACGTACTGTATCAGGTGTGTACCCAGAGCCGGTAACGTACCGTGGCAGGTGTGTAGTAGACGAAGTCGAAGTACCAGGAAGGTATGTCACCATAGAGGTGCCTGCCTGGGGGGAACGGCAAGAAGCGGTCACGACCCAAACTGTCCCGCGAGTCTCCGGCCACAACTCCGATATTGTCCAGACACTTTCCTGCAACAAGTCCCAACAACTATAACTGACTGGACACTTCCTAGAATGATTCGTTACTGATGTGACAGCGATTAAGGCATTTTCTAGCAGTTTTTATATCTTTGAAAAATTAACTTATTATTAATTAAGTTACTGAGGAAGTATTAAGCCTGAGGAAGCCTATACCTGCAAATAAATCATTCAAATAGAAAATTTAAATTTGTCAGCTGGTTATATATCTCCAGTAACAAATACTAGGAGAATACAACTGACTATATCAACAGAGGTTGATCTTGATATCATCATGTAAAGCTCACTATGAGCTCATGAGGCCTCAGTGGCAAAAACCAGTAGCTTAAACAGCTACAAGTCACAGCGACCAATGTCACTGATCTCACTGCAGTCTCATAGCCATACTTGACTTTAAAGATTGAATACATTCAATCCTCTGAATCAGTTAAACCAAAATAAATTACAAATTTTATCAGCAAAAACAAACTCCAGCAAATAAGCACAGTGGAGCATAGTTGACTGTATAAGTTCGACGACTGATTTTTATAGTTATTATTAGCCAAGATTTATACTGTCGGCCTCAGTAGCTAATCAGTGACCAGCAGTAGCCTAAATAAGCCTCAAGTCACTGTGACCAACGCCACTGATCCCACTGCAGTCCCAGACGTATACTTGGCTGTAATAATTTATCACATTCAGTCCTCTGGGTTAAATCAAATTTAGTTAGGTTAAAAATTTAGCCTTACAAGAGTTAGCAGGAAATGAAATCGGCTACCTTCCTCGTAGCAAACATGGATATAACGCCACCAGCTAACAACAAACTTACCTTTAGGTTAAACAATGTAGCAGCAATAGACAATCTCACAAATGCACTCCACAATATAAACTGGGAATCCGAATTTAATAATAATCAGGATATAAATTCATTAACTAACCTCTTCCTTTCCAAAATTCTAAGCCTTTACAACACTCATTATCCTCTCCTCACCAAGCAAGGAACTGACAAAAGGTTAAACAATCCTCTGGCTCACAAATGGCATACTCAAAGCAATCGACAAGAAACATGAAGGAGGCAATCCTGCGGACATAAACAATTACAGACAATATTAAATCTACCTATATTATCAAAAATATTTGAAAAAATTACAAACTGCTATACTCCTATCTCGTAAAATTCAACATCAAGTTCCTGCCAGTTTGGCTTCCGCTCCCAAAAGAGTACCAATGATGCAATTGTTAGTCTGTTTGACTTAATCTACTCAGCGCTTGATAAAAATGAGTTTCCGATTGGACTCTTCATTGACCTGAGAAAGGCCTTTGATACTGTTAACCATAACTACCTCTTACTTAAACTCCGCCATTATGGAATCCGAGGCCTTGCCCTGAACTATTTACGATCTTATCTTAGTGACAGACACCAATATGTAGTAATCTATAATATAACCTCTCCCACTCTACCATTAACCGTAGAGGTGCCACAGGGCAGCATAATAGGTCCTCTCCTATTTCTTATATACATCAATGATCTGCCTAATGTCATTCTTAAACCTATATTATTTGCTGACGATACTGCCCTCATCTACTCAGACCCCAACCCACGCACACTAAATACTGTTGCAAACAATGAACTAAAAAAAAGTTCATTTGTGGATGTCGACAAACAAACTCACACTAAACATAGAAAAGACCTACTACATCTTGTTTAGAACCAAATCAATAATTGCAATTCAGTTACAGATAGACAATGTTAACATCAGCAATAAAAATGATGGAAAATTCCTTGGCTTATACTTAGACAAGAGACTCAACTTCAGCACCCACATACAACACATAACCAAGAAAGTATCAAAAACGGTTGGCATACTCTCTAAAATCAGATATGTTCCAAACTCTTCTCTCCTCTCCCTATACTATGCGCTAATCTATCCCTATCTTACATATGGTATCTGTGCATGGGGGCTCAACCTCTGCAAACTACCTCAAGCCCATCATCACCCATCAAAAATCTGCTATCAGAACAATAACAAACTCTGCTCTCAGACAACACTGAGAGCCCCCACCCCTCCCTTGTTTAAGCCCCTAAACATGCTAAACATAACCTCACTCCACACATTCTCTTGTGCCAATTACATTTACAAACCCATGTTTTTAAGTGCAAACTCTGTTCTGAAACTCTTCTTTGACAGATGTAATACAACACATAATCACCACACCAGAAATAAATATCTCTTTGATATCCCCAGAATCAAACTTAATCTGTGTAAACACTCCATGCAAATAAAGGGACCTGGTATATGGAACTCACTCCCGAACGAATTAAAAAGCTGTCAAACTTTTGCCTCGTTCCAAAATAAAACCAAAAAGTACTTAATTTCATCTTCATAGTTTCCTACCTAGTGCTTGAAACTTGCACTGTATCTAGTGCTATCCAATTCCCCAATGTATGTGCCTGTGCCATACAACTTCACCATAGTAATCATTGTTGTTATTTTATATCTTGTTATGCACATAGTTTGCTACATAATATCCTGCAATAATCCTCAAATTATGCTAAAATGTACCTGTGGACAACCCTTAAATTTACTTTAATGTACAGTACCTACTTTTTTTTATCAAATTTCTTATACAATGTATTTTTTTATACTCTCTTACAATGTATTTTTTTATACTCTCTTACAATGTATTTTTTAATTCTTTCTAGAAATGTATTTTTGTACTTTCTTACAATGAACCTCTAAACATTTTTTTTTAATTTTGCTAGACATTACCTTCTTATAATTATATGTTAGATTAAAGATCTGCCCGAAACACTATGCGTGCTAGTGGCTTTACAAGAATGTAAAATGTCAAATCTTTGTACTCTCATAAACCCAATGTACTTTCTTGTATATAAATATATAAATAAATAAAAACTTCCAATACCTCCGACTCTGTCCTGTACAAATTGATGCACAAATGTGCAACTAAATACTAACATCAAATTAATCCAATAATTCTGAGGAGGAGTATCAGCGTTCATCAGTTCTAAATGGTAGACTCTGATCTGTGCTTCTCCACTCCTGAATTATGTCGGGAAGGAACCGACACCATTTATTGATCTCTATAATAATATGCAGTTAATATTGCTGCTGTTCTTGTACTAACAAATTAACACATACTAACACAAATTATTTTATTTACCCATGCAAAGAAAATTAGAATTGTGGAATTTTCACAGAGAAAAATGGGATATTATTGCCACGTTCCCAACATTGATTTCATCAGCTAATATTATAGTGAATTCTTCTTAAACATCAGTCTATGGACTGCAAACATTATAAAAACATTTCCCAGGAGCGAATTTAATTATCAGTACTAAAATAAATTAAATATAAACCCTCTTTCCACTTTTTGATAAACTGCATTGGGAGGAAACGCCCTGTGAGAGGAGGGAGAAGCCATATTTCATCCTGGAACGGAAAACGTGTTGTGCTGATCTGAATAATAGTGCTCAGCCACTCATTTTCATGCAACTGGACAGCATAAATCGACACCACCGTATCCAGGAAGGGCATTGTATCTGTGCAACATTCATAATCTGTCCCATAAGAGCTCTTATTTATTATGTAATTTACTGCTTATGGTTATGCCATAGGAAAAAAACCAAAAGTGAGCAATACTCTCATCCTTTCATTTCAGATTATTATTATACATTTAGATTATTATGTACCAGTCCCCGTGGTGCAGTGGTAAGACTCTCGCCTGACGTTCCGCGAGCGCTTTGTCATGGGTTCGTATCCTGGCCGGGGAGGATTTACTGGGCGCAAATACTTAACTGTTGCCTCTGTTTAGCTCAACAGTAAAATGTGTACTTGGTTGTAAAAACGATTCTTCGCGGCAGGGATCGTATTCCAGGGACCTGCCCGAAACGCTACGCGTACTAGTGGCTGTACAAGAATGTAACAACTCTTGTATATATCTAAAAAAAAAAAAAAAAAAAAAAAAAAAAATATATATATATATATATATATATATATATATATATATATATATATATATATATATATATATATATATATGTCGTACCTAGTAGCCAGAACGCACTTCTCAGCCTACTATGCAAGGCTTGATTTGCCTAATAAGCCAAGTTTTCATGAATTAATTGTTTTTCGACTACCTAACCTACCTAACCTAACCTAACCTAACTTTTTCGGCTACCTAACCAAACCTAACCTATAAAGATAGGTTAGGTTAGGTTAGGTAGGGTTGGTTAGGTTCGGTCATATATCTACGTTAATTTTACCTCCAATAAAAAAAAATTGACCTCATACATAATGAAATGGGTAGCTTTATCATTTCATAAGAAACAAATTAGAGAAAATATATAAATTCAGGAAAACTTGGCTTATTAGGCAAATCGGACCTTGCATAGTAGGCCGAAAAGTGCGTTCTGGCTACTAGGTACGACATATATATATATATATATATATATATATATATATATATATATATATATATATATATATATATATATATATATATATACATGTAACTAAATAAATTATGTGTAGCAAAATTTACGGTGTAAATCTTTGGCAGGTAATTGGGACGTGAAGTTACTAATGTGTCATCACTCAGAAGAGACCACATGACTGATCTTTTCTCCGCTTGCATATAATGATGATATGAGCACGAGAACCCTAATCTGGCTGGTTACCACGTGTTCTACACCACTATCTGAATGTTGAAGCCTTCTAGTCAGATAAGGCTTTAATTTCACTAATTATTATAGTACAATCTATTAACAATATAGTAGTACACTTGCTATCAGTCGATAATTTCAATTGATAGGTAATATAACTAATAAACCCCACAACTTGTGTAGAAAGGTACTTGTGGGTCCTTTTGGGTAAAATTAATCATACAGTCCACTTTAATTTAATATCATACATTCAGCTAACATAAAAAATAAATTAATTATAAAATGCAAATTATAAATTATTTAAAAAATTAATTAACTAATTGTAATT